AGCCTGGCTCATTATGAAGCCTCTGATTCCTTCCCTGATTCCTCTTATGTGAACCAGAGCTTCTAGAAAACTACTTCAGCTTCTCCTCTCTTCTTATCTCTTCCCTCTTAAAGCTCACAAGGGGGAAGACCTGAGCTCCCATAATGGGCCAGTGAAGCTTTCTCTGGAGGTGAGGAAGGTTCAAGAACATGAGAGCTGCTGGAGTCCTCATCCAAAAAGTCACTCAAAACAGACATTTTCCGGTTTGTGATCACCTCTCCCAGTCACCCAGACCAGCCATGAAGTGACCTAAACTGGTAGGCAGCGACACAGTCGGGGATGGGAGTAGGGGGCGGGGCGGGAGGAACTAGAACGCGAGGTAGGGAAACCCGTTCTCCAGGCGCCTTCCTCACCACCCCCACCCCCAACCTCCATGCTCCACACTCAGTGGGCTGGAGACCCGAACACCACTCTACGTGTCACTAACACTCGTTCACAGTCGCTCGTATCCGCGCACACGAGCGCGCGCGCACACACTGGTGTGTGCTGGGGTTGGGGTTGGGAGAAGGAAGGTTTGGGGAGGCGGGGGTGGCAAGCGAGGAGGGGCTTGGGGGGGGTCGTTCTCTCTCTCTCTCTCTCTCTCTAGCTCCGCAGGCGCATCCCCGCTAGCCCCGCAGCAGCAGCTGCGGCAAAAGCCACAGCGTCAGGACCACAGCCGCTGCCGCTGGGTCCCCTCAATTCGCTCCACTCACCCGTTCCCTACAAGGCGCTGCGGGTCCCTGGGCCCCCCCTGCCGTGCAGCTCACAGCCTTCACTTCAGAACCTCGGACAGCGTGGGGAGCTGGGAGTAGAGCGCGCCTCAGGCGCACACTAGGAATGCCCAGGGGTATGCAGGTGCGGAACCGCTGACACCCCGGGGCCCAGGTTGGGGCCCATGAGCACGATGCGTCTACTGTTGCTCGCATTGCTCTTCTCTTGTTCCTTCGCCCGCGCCGCTTGCGACCCCAAGATTGTTAACATTGGCGCAGTTCTGAGCACCCGAAAACATGAACAGATGTTTCGTGAGGCTGTGAACCAGGCCAACAAACGGCATGGATCCTGGAAGATACAGCTCAATGCTACCTCGGTCACCCACAAGCCCAATGCCATCCAGATGGCCTTGTCTGTGTGTGAAGACCTCATCTCCAGCCAGGTACCCTCCCCCTCCTCTGGGTCTCTAGTCCTAGTCCCCAAACCCTTTCCCCCTCCTTCACATCATTCATACCCATCACATACAACCCCTAACTCTATCATTTGTCGTTCTCTGCTGTTTCATACCCTTCAACGTCCTCCTTAATCCCTGTCTCTTTCCTCTCTTTCTTCCTCTCTCTCCCCCCTCCCTCTTCTCCCATCCCAACCCATCTCCCTTCTCTATTCTCCCCCCTCTTGCCTCCACTATCTTTTCTTCCACCACTCTCTTCATCCCTCTTCATCTACCACCATCCTTCCCCTTCATTTCACTATCCTTCTCTCCATCCCCTCCTTCTTCTCCATCATCCTTCTCGTCATCCCTCTTCTTCCACTCCATCTTATTCCTTTTCTTCCATCTTCCTCTTTCTCCCCTCTTTCCATCGTTCTCTTTTCAACCCCTTAGCCACCTCTCCTCTGTATGCTCCTCCTCTACAACCTCCTACAATTCCTTTTTTCCTTTTCATCCTCCTCTACCTGTTCACCTCTTTCCTCCTTCTCCCCTCCAGTCTCCTATCATTCCCTTACTCCCTTAACTGGCTTCCTTAGATCCCATATCTTCCCCAAGGATCATTCCATTTGTCCCCAGATTCCCTCAATCTCATGTCAGAGAAATGTCTTTGTAAAGGACTCCAATGCAGCCAGCCATCTGTCCATCCAACAGTCCATCTATCCATCCCTCCACACCTTTATCCCCAGGTCCAGTATTTGAGTAATTATCTTGCTGCCCTCATCAGTTCTCAGAGAAGCCAGAGCAGACATCTGGTATGCACTGAGGATTCTGATGAGAGAGAAAGGGGTGGGGAAGAAGAAGAGGAGGAAGGAAGGAAAGGAGAGGAGGAAGTGAGAAACAGAGCAGGAAAGTGGATAGCAAGAGAATGAGGGAGAAAAGAGAAAGAGGAGAAAGGAAGGAGGGAGGGAGAGCAAGAGAAAGGTGGAGGTAGGGAGAGGAGAGAGTGGGGGAGTGAGAACAAGCAGAAGAAGGAGGAAGGAGGGGGAGAGGGAGGGAGAGAGGAGGAATAGAGAGCAAGAGAGAGTGGGAAAGCAGGAGCAGGAGAGAGAGAGAGAGAGAGAGAGAGAGAGAGAGAGAGAGAGAGAGAGAGAGAGAGAGAGAGAGATCATTCTGTGTTTTAGTGTGTGCTGGGCATGAATGCCTGAACAGCAGTCATGTACTCACAGAATGGAGCTTTAGGAGAGGACCTGAGGCCAGCACTGTGTCCTTCTGTCTTATCTTATATATCTTATCTTTTAGTTCCCTCAAATCTTTCTCTGCCTCTCTCATTCTCCCTTCTCCTTACATCATAATATTAGTGAGTATCTACATGGGAAGAGAAAATGGTTGCCTTTCTATGTTGCTGTTATACATATAACTGTTATACATGGGGGCAGGGTACATGTGTAGTTCTACATGGGTTTGTATGAAATATATGTGCAACATACATGTGCTCACAGTGTGTGAATATGGGAATGTCACAGGTGTGTGAGATATATTCTTTTGTGTATGGTACATACACATGCATCATACACAATATGTACGTATATATACAAATATATGTACTTGGCTCTGTGAAGTGTACATAGAGGTTATATGCTCTCTGTGTGTGTGTGTGTGTGTGTGTGTGTGTGTGTGTGTGTGTGTGTGTGTGTGTGTAGTGTATATAGGGAGGAGGGGTACACAGTAAGGAGAAGGGGAAGTTAACATAGCTTTCCTTGTGTCAGTCTAAAGTTATCCCTCCCCTGGAGCTCAGCTTCCTTTTGAATTCCAACAAAGCCAAGAGGATTACCCGCAATGCAGCCCTTTATGTAAGAGACAGTGAGACAGAGAGACAGAGAGACACACACTTAGAGACAGAGATCCTAAGGCACAGGTGCCCACATACAGTGTGTGGCATTCTAGGCAATGCGTACCTAATTCAGGGAGTGTCAATGTCAAGGTCCTAATGGTAAAATAATAAAAAGTCCCCCAGCTCCCAAGCCACCATGGGACCCTCCCACTATATCCTGAGGTCACTCCCCTGGAATCATCTCAGCCCCTCTGTCCATGTGCCAAGTTATACTCAATGACCCTCTCTCCAGAATGTCCATTCATATAGGAGGGGGGTTCTACTTGCTCTCAGGCTCCTCCCAAGACCACTCACCCAAGCTGACACAAAGCCGGATTCAAGCAGTAGGAGGTGAGGGGGTGTGAAGCAGTATAGCCTTGTCAGAGATTGTGGGGGCTGAAGAATAGATGGAGGCACCCAGCAGGGAACAGCTGTTCCCTATGACAAGTGTTCCTTGTGGAGGAGGAACAAGGGGAAAGGAGTGACTTAGATCCATGCCTCCAAATTGCCACTTACCAGATCACACAGGGATGGGGAATTAGGAGGGGACAGTGCACAGGTACATAGGAGCAAAAGTGTTTTCAGGAATCAAACTCACAATCTATTTACTGTCCTCACAACCAGACTGATTGTTTAGCTCGCAGGGGCTCATTTATGAGACCACATCTGTAGCCAACAATTTGGCTCACCAATATCTGTGCCTGGGAATGTTGATGCAAAGGGGCTGGGACCAGCACAGGCCAGTCCAGTTAGGCTAGGGAGACCTACTAATTCTGCTTCTCCTCCCTGTGAGATTCCACTATCCCCAAATACACAGACTTTATCTCCATGACTTAAGAGATAGCCTAGTGTCCTGGAAACAGCACTGTATTTTTAGCATCAGAGGACTGTGTCTGAATCCTGGTTCTGCTATTTACTAATTTGTGTAACCCTGAGCCTTAGTTTCTTATCTGTAAAATGAAAGATTTGGACTAGGGAAGGGAATAAGCATTTATATAGTACCTACTATGTATCAGACACTGTACTAAACACTTTTTACAAATATTATGGGTGATATTACTATTCCCATTTTATAGTTGAAGAATCTGAGGCAGAGGGTTAAATGGCTTGCCCAGGGTGGGTCACACAGCTAGTATGTATCCGAGAGGCCACATTTGAATTCCAGTCTAACTCCAGAACCAGCTTCCTATCAGTGGAGCCACCAGCTTTCTCTAAACTGGATGACCTATAAGATCCCTTAAAGCTCTAAATCTGTGATCCTATGACAAATTAGTAGTGTCCCAGTTAGTGCCAGTTCATGGGGAAGGACTCAGGTAATTGGAGACATTGTAAAAATCAGGAAAGGGAGGGCCAGAATTCTTAGCTGTGAATTTGTCCTTCCTGGATAGAAAAGACAGCTTCCCAGGCCCTTCGTGATATGTTCAAGATTCACATCTTCTTTATGTGGCTATGGTCTGCTGGGACCCCCAGGGCCTTTGGGGGAGGGGTTCCCCTTACCGGGGACTGCTCACTCCACCAACTAGGGGAAACTCCAGGGATTATCTTGATTTTATACCTGCTAAAAATCAACCTATCACTGATCAACACTCCCATGAAAAGGTTAGTGGCTAGAAGCTGGCTCTCTTTCCCCAGGGTGGGCCCTTTGTGTTTCCTTCAGCCATTGAGTTCTGACAATTGGATGGGGGAAGAAGGGAGTTGGAGGAGGGTTTCAATGCCATTCTGAGAATTTGATTTGTACCCTTTTCTTTCCAGCTCGGCATTCTCACTCCCACGACTTCCTCAGAGTGGGCAGACTCTTAGTCAGACCCTATAACAAGAAACAGGGAAACACCCCTTTCCCTAAAGGTCTGAGCTTCCTCTCCAAGTCTATCAGTCAGATAGGTTTGCCTTACCTTCTTTGTCTTACCTACCCTGTCTTACCTTCTGACCACCCAGCCCCCTTAGATGCCCTCTGCTCCCCAGTTTCTGTACCTCTTGAATGCCTCAACAAAGGTATGGCCAAAGCAGGCAGGTAATACCCGACAGGTGTGTCTGGAGGCTGGTGCTGTCTGGCCTCTGCTTCTCTGAACCTTAGCTAAGGCTCTGCTCATCTTGGGCTCTGTCATTTTCACTAATGGTCTCAGAGGGAGCTTTATGGTCAGAGTGTTGTAATGAGATTCTAATGAAATCTTGTATATGAAACACTTTGGGAAATGTTAATGCCAGCTATCATTATCATTATTACTATTACATGTGCCTATATGTATACTATGCAGGAGACCAGGGTAAGGATGGGGAGGGGGTGTCTCTGTATGTGGTTATGTGTATGTTCAGGTAATGTATGCATATAAGGCAGATACGTCCATGTGTAGATATCGTTTGGTGAAGGTGGTGGTGGTGGTGGTGGTGGTAGTATGTGTGTGTGCATGTGTGTGTGGGGATGGGGTGGGGAGGTACCTCCAACTTTGGGCAACTTCCTGTGGTTTTTTTTATTTCCCTCAGCCCTAGTTTCTACATCCTCTGACACCAGCGGACTCAACTTCTGCTTGCCAGCCTTGGCCTCTGTTCGTCATCAGCCAATATGGTGGGAGGGTGGGCTCATGGGCAGTGCTGGCTGGCATGCCTGGGCCCCCCCAGACCCACAACCCCCACTGACCTCATATCCTATGTCCACAGGTCTACGCAATCTTAGTTAGCCACCCACCTACCCCCAACGACCACTTCACTCCAACCCCCGTCTCCTACACAGCCGGCTTCTACCGCATCCCCGTCCTGGGGCTCACCACCCGCATGTCCATCTACTCTGACAAGGTAACTCCCGCATGTGCCCCTCGATGCCCTGGTCAGCACTCTGCCCTGCATTGTGTGTCAGACTGGGGTAGAACTGGCCTATGGGCATCAGTTCTGTGGCTAGAGACACCTGACTGATAACCTCAGGCCTCAAGGAATCTGGGGGCCAGAAGTGAGCAAGAGAGAGGAAGAAAATCGGGTCTGAGAATGGGCAGTAGGTGAGTGGTGGTACAAAGGAGGAACCCCAGAACTACTGGTCCTCAGCACCACCAGCTCTTCTAGCCTCCACATGAATGTGGGGTCCAAACTGTTTCCCTCTGGAACTATGCATGTCCCTAGGAGGAACCCAGAACACTTTATGTCAGTGGCAAAGGCTGGAGAGCCCTGCACAAAGCAGAGGGTGAGGGAAAGTACCCTAGTCTAAGGTATCCAATAACTAGCCCACTAGACAGCATTTTCAGGATGACTCAAAGGTTGTTTCCAAGGTCCATTAGCCAAAGCCAGCAATTAAGAAAGCCAAGCAGTCATGCCTGATGCTCAGTGCCTTTGTCACACTCCTAGCCCTAGAAGAAGATGGGGCCAAGACTTTCTTCTTCTTCTGGAAAAGGGAGACCAATGCCTATCTGCTTTCCTACTTGGCATGAAGGAAATAAGTTTGCTAGAAAAGTTGCTTCCCCTGCTTCCCTGTCATCCCCTAGACCTTACTCCTGTGCTGCTCCACTGGAGGGCCAGCAGTTTTCTCTGAGATTATGTAAAGGGATGTTAAAGTCTAGACCCAACTCAGGACTGGGCCATTTGGAGAAAAGAGGGGAGACACATTCCCTTCACCCTCCACCTAACAAGTTCCAGGGAGCCATTGTTGAAACAAAAAGAAGGCAGTTTCAGTACCAAGTAAATCCACTTCCCACAGTGGGGAATAAACTGATTGAACTCCTTCTCTCATTAATCAATCAACACCCATTTATTGAATGCTTACTGTGCTTTATGCTGGGGAGACAAAGATGTAGGAGGCAGAGTCCCTTGCCTTGAAAACTGACCAAGCACAAGAAAAGAGAGGAAGGGGCAGCTAGGTGGCACAGTGGATAGAGCACTGGCCCTGGATTCAGTGAGTTCAATGAGTTCAAATCCAGCCTCAGACACATAACACTTACTAGCTGTGTGACCCTGGGCAAGTCACTTAACTCCATTGCCTAGCAAAAATTAAAAAAAAAAGAAAAGAGAGGTAATTCAAGGTCCTGTGAGATCAGTGCCCAGCAAATGCCTCAATCTAGCAACCCTTTAGGGAACTGAGTAGACAAAGAACATTATAACCTGGGGCTGTCAGGGACTTTTCATGGAAGAGGGGCCCAGAGACTGGAATTGGGATTTAAAGACTAGAAAGAGTTTAAATAAGTGGAAAGTTATGGGGAAGGGCATTCTAGATTTGGAGGTTGCAAAGTACCCATTGCATTTAAGGACCAATGAATGAAGTGAATTTCAGGCTAGAAAGGATCTTAGAGATGAGATCGCTAATCCAACCCCTTCATTGTACAAATGGAGAAATTGAGTCCTTGAGGGGAGCAATGACTTCCCCAAGGTCTCAGAGAGATGGCTCAGGATGATGAAAGTCCTTTCATATCTGGGCTCTAAAGATCCAACTCGCCCCCACCCCTCCAGTCCCCTCCAACACCATCATTTGAAAACTATGCATGCATATCTTGAGAAAATCATTCTGCTCATAGATCATTTACAGGACACTGGAGTGGTTAAGCACCATGACAAACACAATCCCTAAATCAAACAGATGCCTCTGGGAGCTACAAGAACTTGGATGCATAGGTGGAGTACATCCCTGGATCAAGGAGTGTCCCTGAGGCACCCTCTCCAGGAGTTCCTCAGGCCTGAAAATCACAGAATGGGAAAAATAGACACAAAGAGAACAGTCTTTTCATCTTATAAAGCCCAGGAGGGAAGGACAGACTACAGAATGAACCCTATACCTTTCAGTTAGTACAAGGGAAAGTATGTTGAAGAAGAAGGGACTATTTGCCCCAAATTCCGATGAAATCATCTATAATGTGCTCTTCTATGGCTACAAAAATATCTTAGCAACTTGTCAAATACTAATCAGTTTAGCATTCTCAGAACTCAGCTCTTGCCCTGGAGAGAAGAGAACTAAAGGACAGCTAGACAAGGCAGATGTTCAACACTCGAAAGAGGAGCTTCAAGGCTAGGTACCCCCCAACAGGGCTGAGATAGAGGAAAGAACTGAAGATTAGAAGCTACGTTAAACCATCCCAGATGAACCGTCTGTGGACAGATCTTTGCTAGGTTTGGATCAGAGATCTGGACTCTGTAAAGCTCACTGATTTCTCTGATTTTGTGGCTCTTAAAGCTATTTGTCGTTCAACTGATGGTGCTGAGTTGGGAGAGGGGGAGGGAGGCAGTGCAGCTGGCGATTTTGGTTTTGTAGTCTCTTAACAAATTCCAACCTTGCCTTGACTGAAACAGGAAGGAAAGGTTTTTCCTTGCCTCTCCCAGTACAGGCAGAGATAAGCACAAGCATGGAGGCCTGGTGGGGTGGCAGCAGTGACCTTGTCAGCTCCAGAGGATGGGGAAAGCCAGCACTGCTGGAGACAGAGAGAATTGGAATCCCTTTATATTGAAGGTTTGAAGGTCACGTTGACCTGCTATGTCACTTCTATCCACTGGTCCCAGTTCTACCTCTTAAAGACAAATGGGACAAGTCTAATCCCTTTTTCACATGACAGCCTTTCAGACATTTGAAGACACATAGAGCACAGTAACCCTTAGCCCCTCTCACTACCTAGATCAGTTTATCTTACCCCCAAGTTTCAAAAATATCTCAAGTTCCTGGAATGATGGACACTTGGTTTTTTTTTTTAATCATCTACACAAGTACACAATGAAGGAAGAATGAGTGAGTAAATAGCAGGTCATGTGAAAAAGACCTGGGGATTTTAGTGAACTGTATGCTCTGTATCAGTTAAGAGTATGACTCACTGCCCAAAAAAAACTCCTGCTGTAAACTTAGGCTACATGAAAAGAAGTACAATATCCAAAATAAGGGAAGTCATAGTCCCACTGTACTGTGCCCTCATCAAATCACATCTGGAGCACTGTGCTCAGTTTGAGGATTCAGGTTTTAGAAGGGACATTGATGAATTTGAACATTTCTAGAAGAGAAAACTATGAAAACTATTACCACCAGCATGGTAAGGGGACTTGAAATCAAATCACATGGGGACCAAATCATATAGTGAAAGAATTTGGGATGTTTAGCCTGGAGAAGAAAAATTTTATAAGGGGACATGATACCTGTCTTCAAATATCCAAATGGTTGTCCTGTAGAAGAGATCAGGCTTATTCTGTGTTTTCCTAAAGATCAGAACCTAGGACCAATAGGCAAAAGTTACAGGGAGACAGATATTGACTCAAAAACAAAAGAGTTCTTGACAAAAATAACTTTTTGAAGCTAGAATGGGCTCCCTTGGAATTCCATCACTTGAAATGTGAGAACAGAGGTTCAATCATCACTTGACAAGGATGCTGTAAATAAGCAGTCCAGTGTTGGGTTAAAGTTGGGCTGGGTGGCGTTTGAGGGACTTTCCAAATAAAGATTCGTGATTTTGATTTTAAGGTGTGGGAGGGAAACAAGAGGTATGGGGATAGGGAGCATAGAGACAGAAGCAGTACCAAGAGGGATCCCATGGCTGGGACAGTGCCCAGTCCCTTAGACTGGTAAGTGTTAGCCTGACCAGTGGTGGCATGAGTTGGGGAGAATGGGAGGATCTGGGTGAAAATATCTGCCCTCTCAGTTTCCCCAGCCTCCATCCAATTAGGGACCCTTTGCTCAGTTCCCATCCCCCATAATCCCAATTCCCCTCAAGCCTCTGCTCTCCTCAATCTCTTACCTGTCAGACTTCCCTCACCTCTTAGGGTCTCCCACTCCAGACTCTGTCTCTCCTTAGCCTCCACATCCCACACTCCAGGACTCAAGTCCTTCTAGCCACTTGCCCCTTTGACCTCTGTATAGTCCTGAACTCTGGTCCTCTTGACCTCTATGCTCCTAAGTTGCTGTTCCCTACCCCAGTTCCTACACACACACACACACACACACACACACACACACACACACACACACCACTAGCTTCTGTCCCCCTCAGTCTCTCCTGTGCCCCCTACAGAGTATCCACTTGAGCTTCCTTCGGACTGTGCCTCCATACTCTCACCAATCAAATGTCTGGTTTGAGATGATGCGTGTCTACAGCTGGAACCACATCATTCTCATTGTCAGCGATGACCACGAGGGCCGGGCAG